TTGCAGCCATAGGTTCGCTCCAAAGACAAGGCAACAAAAGTGATGGTCATCTTAACACAGACGCTCTTCAAAAGTGATGCTGGTTTTTGATATACTGTAAAATCCGATAGAAAATAATCAAATTTTCATGGTTCAAAACAAAGAATGGGGAATTACTTTTTTTCAAAAGTCTTCAATCAACGAAAAAGGTAGCAAACCATACAACCACATTCTTCATTAAGTTCCTTTGTTTCCCTTTCTTTTCTGCATCACCTCCAACAAGTTGAGGAGCTACAGCCTTTTTACATAAAGGTGGATTTTCAACATTGACAGGGCTCAACGTGTTCGGAGGCAATCCAGTCCTAAACGGGTCATTTTGATCTTTTGCGCGTTGATACATTTTTCTCGTTGCGACCAACCAAGAGCGGAAGACGGAGGAAACCATAAAACTGGGGAGAAACAAAAGATTTGTGGGATTACGAGAGCGGTTACGTAAGATACATAGTAGAAATCTTGAGCGATAAAGTCAAGCGCTGAGAATAAGACTAAACGTAAACTTCCTCCTACTTTGAATGTAAAACGAATTTAAAGGAAAAAGCGATTTTTGCATGTTTCCTCTAAATTTTTCCTTAGATTCATGATTTCTGAAAGTTGAGCAGTTGTCTACGTTCTGCAGTGCGATGCTGCGAACAATGATCTTAAGATTGAGATAATCTAGCTGCAATAAATCTTCAGAAATCATAAAAAGTAATACGGATTTTTGGTGCATCCTTTAAAGTAGTTCGCTGGATATCAAAACTGAAAGTTGCGCAGTTGTCAGCTGTATTGCGGATAAGATTTCCTGTCGAATGAGTGAAGCGGACTTAGAAACTTCGTTTGACCTAGAAATCGAGGAAAACAAAAAAACACGGTTTTTCTAATTTCATTCAATCAGCAAACATTTGAATGATGCGCAGTTGTCTGCTTGAATTTACGTTTCAAGACCCTCAAAACGATATACGATTTGCTCTCATTAATTTGTAAAGAGTGAAGAATAGGGCACCAGAGCCAAATGCCCCGTGAAAAACTCTTGGCTGCGTAGAGAATGTGCAATTTTGAGAGGCGACAGAGAACGAACAGAGCCGGTGGAGCATTTGGCCCTGATGGATTATTTTGGCTAGTACTCAACGAAACTCCCAACATGCATACATCATTCTGCTCAGAATCTTATGAAAAATCCAGCTGACAATTGCGCAACTTTTATAACTTCTTTATAACGAATTGTTCTCTGTATCCCCTTAATTTCACCAATCAAGGCTATGACGTGCATGCTTAGTTCAATTCTAAATCACAATAACTATGACTTCCAACGATCCATGCCTTTCGGAGTTCTACACATAACCTGCTTTGAAAAAAATAGTTATTAGGGGATTTTAGCAATTACTTCTCATTGGCCTTTTCAAGATCAAGTTCTACGTTCAAAACTATACCTTTTCATTTTTCATGTAGAAAACTCCTTATCATTGTCCCTAAAATCTACAGTTATTATGTACGATATTCTAATCTTATTTCGTTAATAAAGTGAAATTTCCTCGCTTTATTAGTTTTGCAGTACTCGAATACCAAACTTCTAGTGTGTGGAAACAGTGTCCGGGGCTCCATCGGAACTTCACTAACTCAAACTCTCTTAGGTGTGGCTCCTACTCTTTCTTCGCTCATCAGTAAAGATGACCGTGGCTCTATGTATCGAACCTATGGCTGCGGCACAGCTTTGCAAGAAGATCTTCGAAAGTACAAGAATAAGATAAAAAGTAGCACAAGGAAGGACAAGGCTATAAAATACCGCCGAGACCTTTCGACTGTTCCGCTAGCAACATTATAGACAAAGATAGGACTCGCACATCTTCCCGACGGAAGATGGAATCGATCACAATTCTATACCGATCTTTTTTGCTTACACCCGTGCCAAACTCCCTTATTCTAGAAAAATATCACCATGGAATCTACCTACAGGCACCGAGGTTTGCCGAGAGTAGCGCCTACCTCTCGACCTAACCTTCGTCAACTATGAAAAAACGTGGGGAGAGGTACTTAGGTACCTGTGGTATTCGGTGCAGCTGGTGCAGTGCCTGCAAGGCGCATTCTTACCACTCAGGGATTGGAGCCGTGCGAGCGGGCCGCATTTAGAGGTTACCGTACGAGCGCCCAGCCTAGATCTGTGGGCGGAGACTTCCTCCATGCAAGCGGGCTGCAATGGAGTTTGCCGTGCGAGCGGCTTGCAACAATATTTCTGTAAGGAAACGTAAGAGGACGCTCACTCCACGCATAAACACACAATTTCTCACCAGAAAAATATATGATAGCAACAAGTTACTTTTCTGATATGCCTTTAAGCCCATTTTCTCTATGTTCTGTCTGGTTTAATTGATTTTCTTTCCACATATACATAAGTATAATTTTTCAGTGTTTTAACATCTCCTAATGATTCATAGAGTTTGTTGTAGCGGTTTTCATTTGTATTATGATCGCTTATTTTACAGAGTTTTTGGATACACCTCATCAAGGTAGGTTTGAGAAATAAATTGAGTTCTTTGAATAAGTTGAATATTGCGCACCACTTTTATACTCTCCTATGCGTTTAGCAATTAAGATCTGTTGATTTAATTACTGATAATGATGACAATTAATGATTTTATTACTTCAATAACTGTATGTACTAGCCTCTTAGCACATTCATAACACGCATACTAACACATAGGTGGGGATCTTCCAATTTAGCCTCAGTGAAGGGAGGGATCTTCGCACCTTGAGGGGGGAGGGGTCTTCACACCTAGAGGGGGTATCTTCACACCTGGAGGGGGGGAGGGGTGTTCGCACCT